TTACTGCTGATCACAGAACCGTGCTTCACTGAAAGATACGCATGACAATCGCAGCTTCTGTCGAATCGCGATCTCGATTCCATTTCGATTTATCGTGCAGCCCTACGTGGGCGTGACGTCTGAGGCTGAGACTAGAGTACCGCTAACAACATTAGCGCGTATGTTAACGTGTGTGCAAACTGTGTGTGCGACTATGTGAGAGAAAGAGTGGGAGAGATATAGTATGTGCTTTCCGTACATAATAAAAATAAAATTTTGTGGCAAAAACATGGAAATGATCTGTCGTTTTTATCCTATTGTTTACTATATTTATTTGTCTGGCCAGTGTCGTTGTGGGTTTTAGTTATTTTGCTGTTGTTAGACTGTAAGGACCTTTGAAAGAACTGAAATAATTTGGCGAAGTGATATGGACATGTAATGCAGTCCAGAGCTGCCTGGAACTATGTTCGCCGTGCTCTGCGTTTACCTGAAAATAATTGCACACCTTAGAATGTTCGTCAGCCAATCAGATTCAAGCATTCAACGGCCCCGTAGTATGTATATATATATAGGGACCATATACAATATAACGGACTATGTATTGTATTCAGAGATTTCTCCAGGGAAAGATATATTATAAAAAATATTCATGTTTCATTAGAAATAAATAATTGTTTATCCTACTTTTAAAATATCTTTGATTGAATATTATAATTAAAACCACGTGATTGAATGTACAATTTTGTTTTCAATTTCTTATTTTATCCTGATTCAAATGTTGTATAAGACACAGGCAGTTTACAGCACGTCTGTGTTCTTCTCTCTCACCGTCAGCGTGGACGACAAAAACTCGTCACGCAACGCCATACGGGTGAGAGAGTGCGTTTGTGAGCGTTCGTGAGTGTAGTTTTTGTTTCAAAGTAACTTCAGCTGGTGTTTGTGTGATTGTAGATTGATCAGGAGGGTTTGACTCTGCCAGAAAGGACTCTGTATCTGGGGCAGGATGAAGACAGTGTGAAGGTGAAACGCCTCTCTTCATCTCTCCATATGCTCTTTTGTTCTGGACTCTTGTCTCTCCATCTGTCCGTCTGTCTGTCTGACTGCCATCTGTCACTCCGGCCGTCTCTCGCTGTGAGCTCAAACGTCTAACTGATCGTGTCACAGCTGCTGATGATGTCACAGATGAGCTGGCGTCTCTTAATAATGAAGTCACAGCAGTGATCCTCTCACGCTCTGATGACATCAGATCTCTGCTACAGCACAGCTACAAATCAGAATTGACAAGCCACTAAATCCCACTGAGAGATCAATAAAAACATGGATTAATCTCATACAAAACATGTCCAGATCACATTTCAAACCAGAAATCACAACAGAATTTCTAAATGCAAAATATTAAGTCTATATTAACAAATAAAAAGTACAAATACAAAGGTTTACATAGTTGTTAAGAGATTTAATTTTTGTGTATCTTTATCTTTTTAGTTAACTAAGTCATATCTAGATTTTTTTTTCTCTTTACCCTTTTTTTATAAAAATAAAAATAAAATGTATAAAGGATACTTAAATACAGTCATATATCTAGATTTTTTTGTTATCAATGTACTTGAGAGACAAAAACAAATTAAGACATCCAGATAAGTAATAAGTTACAAATTATATAAACAAACAAACAAACAAAAAATAGTAAATAAATAAAAATAAATGTATTTAAAGATTTACTTTTTATGTATATTTATCTCTTTAGGTAATAAAATAAAGCCATATATCTTTTTTTAACCAGTAAACTTTGTAGAGACGAAAACATTCAGTCATAATAAACATTAAAACAACATTTATATTTGTTCCTTTTGCTTTTGTGTATAAAAAAACTAATATATAGGTACTCAAAATTGTACTTTTCTAATGTAATAATAGATAGTCAAAGTTGTACTTTTCATGTATCTTTAAGCAAATAAAGTCATACAGTATATCTAGTTTTATACTGTAGTTTTTTCATTATCAATGCACCTAAGAGACAGTAAACATCAGAAATTCAACCATGAAAACATTAAAACATGATTTATAATTGCTACTTTTGCTTTTTTTTTTACAATAAAATTGTAAGATTTAGCATGAAATCAGTTTCATGTCAGATGTTTGTCCAATATAATCACGTCACAATGTTTTTTTTTCTCAATGATTTCAGATTCTGGCGTCCTATAAGGCGCTGATGGAAAGGTTGCTGAGCATGCTGGGAGCTCACAACGCCACGCTGAAATCCAGAGAGATTCTGGATCTGGAGACGAGACTTGCGAATGTACGTATGTGTGTGTGTGTGAGTGTGTGAGTGTGTGTGAGTATGTGAGTGTGTGTGT